CGATGGCTGGTGATGGAAAGTTAACCACAGTGAAAACACACACAGGATCTACACGGGCGTGCACAAAACCACTCACAACACCCGCACGATAAAGAAACTCCAGGAATTCTTCGGGTCACAGGATGCTTTTTTTTTTAAAAAAATTGATTTTACGGTTTGGAAAAAAAGACCACTGGAAAGAGAAAGAATATTTTCTTCAACGAGTTATCCGAACTCTGAGATGTGTGTGCCTCTGCCGTTAATTCGGCAAAAGGTACTAAAAAAAACAGCAATGCTGATTTTTCCGGGTGTTGATGGTTTGAGTGTCCAATAAAAACAGCCGGACGGGGGGAGGGCGGGTGGGCTAGGAAACGTCAAGCACCGTTGTGCAATTCTCCCCACACTGTCCTCACCAGCACTTCTCTATAAGTCATTCAGGCCAACAAAGAAACAATTAAAAAAAAAAAAGTCCAAAACCCACATTTAAAAACATTTGTTTCCCCTCTCCTGCCCAGCTGTGAAAAGCCATTCAAAGGCACAGGCAGTGTGTTGGTGCTTCCCGCCAGCCTGCGACAACTGGAATTATCCCTCTGTGAGCAACAGCGGTCGGAGACGCTTTTAAAACTCTTATTCAGCATGAGCAAGAAATGAGTGTCCTACCAACAGCCTGAAGGTCGAAGTGCTGCCAGAAAAATCAACAGAACGGAGAGTTATTGCCAGATACTCACTTGTTCTGTTAACTAAAGGGATCATTTTATTCAGATGATTTAAAAAAAAACATCAATACCATCAGCCTGATGCTTCAACCAAACCCTCAGCCTCCACTATGAACAAAGATGAGGTTGTTGGCTCAGAAACCCAACTTTAATATGGAAATAAACAAATTGCGTGGTATCCGACAGAGTAAGTGTCACCTTTTGAAACACTGATGATCAGAACACATCCAATGTTTGTGTTTGTTTTTTGCCGACTTGCCAAGGCCATAAAAGCTGTTACAAGTGTTACAGAAACCTATTGTATTACCGCATTTGAGAATAAAATTAGAAGTAATTGTGTGTGCTAACATAGAAACCTACACAGAGAGCTACTGTAGGAGCTGCGTCAGAGCGCAGCCTGCAGAGGAATGAGCACCGAGGTGCAGAGGTTACACCGCCAAGCGAAAAGAAAAGCAAAAGCACATGTCCTGGCCATGGAGCTTCTTCAGGAGTGTGGGGAGAGAAGGAGAGAGCAGGAGCTGGAGATAAAAAAGGACAAAAGAAAAGTCTGAGAAAATGGAAAGGGGGAAATGAAATGAGGTCTAAACTGACAGGAAACTAAGAGAACATTTCCAGAGGAAGACACACATCTATAACTTAATGGAGATTGTAAGCTTATACTGTATATACGATTAATATTGTATAATTACTATTCAGCAATTAAAAGCCAGAACTCTACACCTCATGTACTAACTAAAACTACTAACATTATAACTTCTGTACCCTGCAAATGGCACTGGCTCCCAGTTGAATTAAGAGTGGACTTAAAGGTTCTCCTGCTCACGTACAGTATGACACAAAGCATGGTCCTGCTCCAGGATATCTTAAGGACTTATTGCATAAGTATAGTCCAGCTCCTAATCTGAGACCTGCTGACTCAAGGTTTTTTACCGTGCTAAAGCCCAGGCTCCACACACCATCAGTCCCATGCCTGTGGAATTCTCTGCCCAAATCCATTAGAGACTCACATAGAGACCTATCGCTTCACTAAAGCTTTCAATGCATAATTTAGCATTGCCACACGTTGTTTTGTATACTGTATTGCTTCCTTGAAAAGCACCAAGAAATACAATAGTATTATTAAAATGTGTAAACCACAGTTTCAACAACACGCTACCTGAAGGTCACTGGAATAATTTGTAAATGTTGCCTTTGTATGCCGTGCAGGGCGAACAGTACGGCAGTGGAAACAATTGCAGATATTTCACAAAGTCCACAGTCTGCTTGCAATCTAACTGTAAATCAAAAAGGTGTGCGTGTCCTTCTTTAAATATACTTAATATACTTCTCAAACATTAACAGAACAATATTGAAGATAGTGCAATATTTATAATAATTTTCTAAAGTCACTAAAGTCACTGGGAGCTGCACCTGAAAAAAAGATTCATGACCTTATTGATGTTATAAAAGTAGAAGAAGTGAAAGCTGCTTTTGCTTGTTCAAATCATGCTTTTTATAGTATTTGCTTTGCTCTTTCACAATAATGTTCCAGTTCTGCTAACTAAAAAGCAGGGTTTTTTAATCCATTTTTAATACCAATCCCTGCCTGTGCCTCCCTATTACACTTCATAAGCTTGCTCTTCTGCAGTTATTCAGCGATCCCGTCTCAGCCAGAGAAATACTGTACGTGTGTCTTCAGGCTCCCCTGAGCCTTGCTGCAAGACCAGGACGGAGTGGGGTGGTTTCAGAAACAGGATCTTCTTTGCAACAGGACAGAGTGCGGTGCTGAGCTGTGGAAACTGACCAACACGTATCTCGTGAAGTGTAAGCCACCGAATGGTTTACACTTCACAATGTCCAATATTGACAATGTCCAAAATAACCAGAAAGGTGTGGCTGGCACGCTAGTCTCTTTACTGAGCTCCGTGTCAGTGAGCAGACCTGCAATGAGACTAACTCTGACCCTTCCAAACCAGGACATTTGCATTTCGCCTGTGGCACGATCTGCTTTGTTTACGGAATGTATCGCAGCCGGGTGAAGGCCCAGACCAAGCGTTTCCAGGCAACCGCAGTGTTGATCAAATCCGGCCCGTCAGCCGCTCCCTCAGGTGCCAGGCAAGGTGACAGTGGGACAGGAGAGGAGGAAGTGGGCAGCAGCGTGGCCAAGGGCACTGTGCCAGGACGGGCGCGGTGGCGGACCCGCAGTGCACACAGGTGGGATACTCGCACAGCTGTGACCCACTTCCCTTCCACCAGCACAGCCTTGGGAACAGCTGCCTGCAGCCACTTTCCATCAGTTAAAAGGCCGTGCATTTCTGTTAATGAACCTTTTTTTAATAATATAAACTCAGAGATAAGAATGAGGATGTTTATCCCTTCACACCTCCTAAATAACTGTTTTAGTGTTTATGCTTTATAGAACTACTGCACTTGCTGATTACTGACTTAGTAATTGTT